ACGTTTCGCGCCGGCTTCGGCGAAGTCCCCTGGTTTGCGCCCTTGCCCTCGCCAGCCTGGCGGGCGCCGCGCGGCCCTCTGGGGGGCCGCGCCCGGCGGGCGCGTTCCCGGCGGCGCGCTCCGCGGGCGGCGCGCTCCACGGGTAGCGCGGCCCGCAAGGTCCTTGAAGGTCGGGGTCGCCCAGGCTGGGGCGGCGGGGGGCACGGCGCAGGGGCGCCCGCCGCGGCCCCCAGAGATCGCCGAAAAGTTTTCGCGCGGCCGCCATGCCTCCGCGATAGATGCCTGCATATTCGCGCGCCGCGGCGCGGCGCGCAAAGGCGGGGGGGTCGCCCAATGCTTCGCGGCGCGCGGTGGGGCGCGGGCCGGGCGAGGCGCCCTTCCGCGCGCCGTGGCCGCGCGCAGCTCTCGCGCCGATGTCGAGGCGGCCGCCCTCGGCGCGCGCCCGCGGAGCTCCCTGCCGCCGCGGCCCCGCCCGCAATTTTTGCGGCCTGGCGCGGCCGTCGCGCCGCGGGCCGCGGGCGGGAAGGGCGGGCGCGGCCTCGAATGCTTCGATTTAGACGCGCTGCCCGAGAGGCGGGCGCCGCTGCTCAGCTCGCGCTTCCATAGGGGGTTCTACGGGCCGAAAACGCCGCTAGTGCCTCTCTTGCTTATTGGGGTTGCTGGGGCGCCCAGGCGTGGCGGCCGCGGTGCTTGCGCCGCCGTCCGCCCGCGGGCCCCGCGGCCGCGCGCCCGCCCGCGCCCCCGTTTCTTTTGCCCCCCAGGGGGCGGCGCCGTCTCACGGTGGCCACCGAAGGGGGCCATTTCGTTGGATTTTTTTCCGGGGCCCGCGTAAGTGGCGGCGTTGTCGCAGATAGCGGCGCCCCAAGGACGGCGAGGTCTACGCTGGCGCGCGTGGGGCGCCCCCCGCTGGGCTTCCCAGGAGCCCGCGGCATTGGCGATTGTTTCCGAGCCGCTGCCCGCCAGGGGCGGCGATGTGTCGTGGCGGGGCCCCGGGGGCACCCTCCGTTCGACCCCCCGAGCACGCGGGGGGGGCTGCAGTTTAGCAGGTCGCAGCCCGCCATGGGCGGCGAGGCCTCGCGGCGGCCCCCGTGGAACACCATTGCGCCGGACCTCCCGTGAGTTCGAGGCCACGTCGGCAGCGACTGCCCGAACAGAGGAGTTGCCGAAGGTAAGGGTCAGCGACGGAGGAGGAGATGCCGGTGAAGGAATCCAATGCGGAGGTTACCAGTGCAATTACAACAGCAACTACAAATGTTACCCAGGCGGCCAGGGCGGCAAAGGGGGACGCGGAAGTCAGAGAAGTTACCGGGGAAATGCAGGGGGAGGCAAAGACGGCAATGGAGGTCGCCAAGGACGGCATACAGGAGGAGGTAACGGAGGAGCTAAATGAAGAAGTACATGAGGCCAAGGGCTTGTGCCCCGCAGCGAGCGACCATGCTTTGAGCGCGGCGGTGTGGGGCACGTCGCCCTTAACTGCCCTGGAGGGGCCGGCGAGGTTACCCCGGGGGGCCAGCAGGAGCCGCTGGAGCAGCAGCAGCGGAACGACCTCAGGGACTTGGGCAGTTTTGATCGGGAGCTTCCAGCGTTGAGGTACCCGCGGATGTTACTGAGGAGAAGCCAGAGGTCGCGGAGGAGTGGAGTAAGCAGCATGAGGAGAGGAGGAAGCTATACAGGAGGGCGAAGAAGGGGCCCATGGCAAGTTACCACGCGTGCAGCCCCAACTGCAACCACCCCCAAGACAAAAACGCCACCGGACCGCTCCGGAGCCAGGGGGGCGGGCAACTTTGTTAGCGTCCGCTAGGGCTGTTACCTCCAAGAGTTGGTTCCAAAAGTAACGCGCATGCTTATGAGCATTGGGCTGTTCGCCCCCGCCCCGAGACGCTTCCGCCCAAAATGCACCGCCGAACCCGATCCGATTGGGTCATGCGCGGGCGCGGGCGATTCTCGCACGCGCGCGCCGGAAGCGGTTCCCCTATTCGGCTCGCCCAGGGAATGGTGGTTGCGAGCCCCGCAACGTAGTGGCCTGCAGGCCTGTGCCCTTGGTGGCCGCTAAGCGCGCCAGTGCGCCTGGTGAACTAGGGCCGTCGGTGGGCGGCGCGGCGCCGATCTCCGGGTTCGCCGCCCATCATCGTGGCCGAGGCAGTCGCTCGACCGCGGGGCGGGGGATGCCCATCCACGCCGCAACGCGCACTTCTTCCAAAGGCGCGCGCAGCTCCGATCAGCATTGCCCCGATGACACAGCACTCGACCACCATGAAGTTGTGCTTTGCCACCGCGCCGCGCGCGGCACGAAGCTTGGCCGGCCGGTTCTGGGGGAGATTGCGTTTGAGTTTCTGGTCGCCCAAGAATTCGTTTGAGATCTTGTTGGGGATAGGCAAGAGGCGAGATTTCATTTAAGATGTTGTTTGGGATGTGGCAGCGGCATGATGTCGTTTGACATTTCGTTCGGGATTTATTGGTGGCAGGATTTCGTTTGAGTTTTTGCTTGGGCCCCAAAGTGTCTCGGAAGATTTCATCGGACGTCCGTTTGGAGATTCTCTCGCGGCAAGATCTGGTTTGAGATCTGGTTTGAGATTTTCTCTTTCGGCACGATTCGGTTCGAGTTATTTGGAGATTCCTGGGGGTGCGAGAGGTCTTCCATTCACCCGATCTCATGGCCCAAGAGGGGGCCCAGAGGGGGACCGCGAACCGATGTTTCGAAGTCTCTGGCCCTAGCGGCCCCAGTGCGCCCCCAGACGCCACCAAGAGGCTCCCACGAAGCCCCGCGCGGCGCCCAAGAGGCCCCCAGGAAGCCCCAAGAGGCCCCCAAGGGGCCCCCATGGAACGGCCAACCGGCCCCCCAACACACCCCAACAAGTCATGTATCCAGACTGCCTTCGGGGACATGGTTCATCATGGGCCCGAGAGTCTCCGGCGGCTCCGAAGTGCCACCGCGCTGCCGGAGGGCTGTCCGGGAAGTTGATTGGGAACGTGACTGGTCGCCTTGTCGCGGCCCTCCGCGGATCGTTTCGCACAAAGTTGCCTCAAGTGCCCTCTTGAAACGACGACGACGAAACGACGAAGACGAGGAAACGACGAAGACGACGACGACGACGACGACGACGACGACGACGACGACGACGACGACGACGACGACGACGACGACGACGACGACGACGACGGCGCGCCCCAAGAGGCGACGACGACAGCATGACGACGACGACGACGACGACGACGACGACGGCACGCCCCAACAGGCTCCTCAAGACGCCCCTAGAACTATGTTCCCAGAAGGCCTTCAGAGAATCCGATTCGTCAGGCCTCCGCCCCCCTACGCAACCATCTTCCCCGAAAGCCGTCCGGAATGCGGATGACATGCGTGGACTTCTCACTGCCCATAAGACGTTCAGCGTTATGGACACTCCTTCACTTCCCGTTCAGACCATCTATGTTTCACCACTTCAGTGGAGCAGTGAACTCGTCAAGGCCAAGGGCCTGCTAGAACCTTAGCGCGCGCGAAGCGCGCGCGATGTTTCTAGTCGATATATTCTGGCATGTGTGGCGGCCTTTTTTTTATATATAATATAGATAAACATATACACCACCTACCAAAACCCCGAAGATCTCTGTTGCCGCCTGGCGGCGGTCACGACTCCCTCCCCCGCCTCGCAACTTTTTGATCTGCAGGGCGCGAGCGAAACTCTTCCGCAGGCCGCTGACCTCCCGCGAGGAGGCACCTGCGCAGCGCAGGAGTAGGGTTATGTCGGGCCTGTCCCTCCTACAGGAGGAGTATCCAAACATAATACCAAACTAGTCTGGGGACGATTTTTTTGCCTACTTCTTATCCTTTTGAGTATTGTGAAGGCCTTACGGCCGGTGCCGCCGACCCTGCAGGTTTTGGCCGTCGATGGCGACTGGATGTGTGATCACAGGAAGGAGCTAAAGGACAACGTGACAGGGTAGGCGGAGGAAGTGCGTGAGGAGGAGGAGCAGGAGGAGGAGGAGGAGGAACAGGAGGAGGAAGAGGAGGAGGAGGAGGAGGAGGGGGGGGGGGATACAAACAAAAGGAGATGGACAAAGTGGCAAAATCTGTTCAGGAGGAGGAGGAGGGAGGTGGTATTCTGACCCGGCCCCCCCCCAGGACCGCCATTGTTTTGATGATGATGATGATGATGATGATGATGATGATGATGATGATGATGATGATGATGGTGGTGGTGGTGGTGATGTTGATGCTGATGATGCTGATGATGACGACGACGACGATGATGATGATGATGATGGTGATGATGATGATGGCGATGATGATGATGATGATGATGATGATGATGATGATGATGATGATGATGATGATGATGATGCTGATGCTGATGCTGATGCTGATGCTGATGCTGATGCTGATGATGCTGCTGATGATGATGATGATGACAATGATGCTGATGATGCTGATGATGATGCTGATACTGATCATGATGATGCTGATGATGCTGCTGATGATGATGATGGTGATGATGCTGATGATGCTGATGCTTATGCTGCTGATGCTGATGCTGATGCTGATGATGCTGCTGCTGATGATGATGCTGCTGATGATGATGCTGCTGATGATGATGCTGATGATGCTGATGATGCTGATGATGCTGCTGCTGATGATGATGCTGATGATGATGCTGATGATGATGATGCTGATGATGATGCTGACGATGATGCTGATGATGATGCTGATGCTGATGCTGATGCTGCTCCTGCTGATGCTGATGCTGATGATCATGCTGCTGCTGATGATGATGCTGCTGCGGATGATGCTGCTGATGATGATGCTGATGATGCTGGTGATGATGCTGCTGCTGATGATGATGATGATGTTGTTGTTGCTGAGGAGGAGGAGGAGGAGGAGGAGGAGGAGGAGGAGGAGGAGAGGAGGAGGAGGTGGAGGAGGAGGAGGAGTAGGGAGGTAGAGAGACGATGAGGAGAGGGAGGAGTGAAGATAGCACGAGGAGGTAGAGGAGGAGGAGGAGCCA